TTTCCTTCCTTTTCTTCTTCCCCGCCTTCGGTGCTTTTCAAGCAGGGAGAGGGATTTGCCATTTTCCCGGCTGGGTGCCGCTTCCTTGGCTCCTCGCGTGCGGAGGGGCCGGGAAGGCGGCCGCCGGCCGAGCGGGGCGCTACCTGTGGCGGGGCTGCTCGGAGCCCTGCCCGCGGTGCCCCGCGGGCTGCCCGGCACCCCTGCCCTTGGCTGCGCTCCAGGGTCACCCTTCAAGTGACAGCGGTTACACGAGGCTGCCCCTGCTGCTGCCCATCGGGCGCCTCCGTGCGTGGATGGCCGGGAGCCTGTGTGCTGCCAAGCGGGAGCTGAGAGCACAGCTCTGCGTGGATTCCCCTCCATGGCCACAACTTTCCAGCTCTGATCGCTTAACTTTTCTCCTGCATTTTTTTTCCGCCCCAAAGTGCTTGATTTCCTGGCCTGCTGTGAGTAGTGCCTGTTGATCTCCCCTTGTGTGACTTTGCCTGAGCCTGTGAGGGCTCTGCAGGCCTCCAGGGGCTCCGAGCGCAGCGTGGTGGGCTGTTGTCTCTGAGCGGCTGTAGCTGCTCATCTCCCGACAGGGGGGTTGGCTTGTGCATTGTTACAGTGTGAATGTGCCTGGGTTGTTCCCTCCCGCGGCCGGTTAGGAGGGCTGGGGTGACCCCCGTCTTGGAGGCGGCCGGGGCTGCGTGGCTCTGCTCGGAGCCCGGGTCCCCAGCCTGGCCAGGGCACCACGTGACACGGGCTGTTTGGTTTCCACCTTACTAGGCTTTAACCAGGAGAGCTCTGCAGGCAGCTCCACCATGTCGGATAGCGACCTGGGGGAGGACGAGAGCGCCACGTCTCTGGACCTGTCTCAGTCGAGCAAGAGGAAGAGGAGGGGGAATCTGCCCAAGGAGTCTGTGAAGATCCTTCGGGACTGGCTGTACGAGCACCGCTTCAACGCCTACCCCTCCGAGCAGGAGAAGCTCAGCCTCTCGGGACAGACGAGTCTCTCAGTGCTGCAGGTAGGAATCGATCCGCACAGCACACGCACAGCCCGGTGCTGCACAGGGTCAGGGTGACAGGCTGGGGACACTCGGCAGGGCACTCTGTGACCGCACTGGGGACAGGCTGGTCTTAGAGAACTCCCCCAGAGAGCCTGAGAGGCCTGGTGGGCTCTGAGTGCTGCTTCTCCTGGTCCTTGTGAGCAGGAGAAGCCTTTGGGAACCTTTGCATTGGAGAAAGCTGTGGAGGCCTGGGGGATAGATGGGCTTTGGCCACAGGTGGACCACAAGCAGCAGCTTGTCCTGCCGTCTTCTCCTGAATTGGTTGCATTAAGGGGAACACAAGACAGCTGAAGGGCTCCCACCTGCTTTTCCTTCCAGCCCTGGCCGGGTTGTAGTGTTACCTATGCTGGGGTGGCGAGTGGGACCTGGCTCCGCGGTGCAGGGCAGGACTGGGGCTCAGCTTCCTGCAGCTCTGTGTTCCTGTGAGCCACACAGAGGCCAGGAGCCCCAGACAGGGGGCCCAGGGCCACGCACCTCCTCTCCTGCTACTCTGCTTTTCCCGCTGGTTCCTAGGGCCGTGCAGGGTAGGAAATGGCCCTTGTGCAGGATGGGAGCAGGCAGAAGCCGGGAGACTTGTGGCTGAGCTCCTCTCCTCGGGCTTCCTCTGCGGCACACTTCTCCTTTCCCCGCTGCTCAGTGCAGCTCTGGCCAGCAATTCCAGACACTGGTGTGTGGGCTGTGTCAGTCTGTCTGGTTTCCTTCTCCCTGACCAGCAAGGCAAGCTTTCTTTTCAATTTTTATTTATTTAAATGCTGACTGCATGACAGATTCATCTCTGGCCAGCCCCTGGGGCACTGCTTTGAGGGAAGTTTGGTGGTCCTGGGATGGCTTGAGCTGGATCAGCTGGGTTGGGGCTGTGATGGGCTTGGGGCCCTGCAGAGCCGGTCTTGTCCTGGGCCTGGTCACCTGCAGGGAGGACGGTCCTTTGCGGATGGCGCAGCAGGAGCTCCATGTGCTGGGATCCTCCGCTGTGCTGGGATCTGCCTTGCTGGATGGGGCACCCACTGGTGCTGCGAGGGGACCGCAGTCCTGCCAGGAGCCCTGGCAGGGTGGTGTGGCCAGGGGCTTTCCTTGCCCTGAGCTCCTCGGGACCACGTTGGGCAGGAGCAAAGTGTCAGTGGGGCCTGGCCTCGTGCTGAGGTTTGGCCTTGCTCTGCACCAGCTGCTGGCTGTGCGTGAGCTGTCCTTGCAGCCAGCGTGTGCTCCCTGCACTCCTGCTGCCAACTGCAGCCACCTCTGCGCTGCAACGCGGCAGCCTTGCGTGCTGGGGAGACCTCAGACCATCGCACTGTGAGAAGATGCTGCTCCCTTCATTGGCGAGGCGGGAGGTGGAAAACCCCAGCACAGCCTGGTGTGGGGCTGCTTAGCTGCCCTCTGTTTTAGCAGGAGACGCTTGTTGGGGTGGAGGTGCAGGACTTCCCACTGGCAGTTGGCTCCTGCCGCTGTTTCCAGGTGCCGCCCCGCAGCTCTGCTCCGCACCGCGGCGGGCTCTGAGGTGCCCAGGCTGGAGCGGCTCCGGGGGCTTTGCTCCCCGCGGGCAGCAGGTCTCGCTGCAGCAGCACCGCTGCTCGGCTCAGCCCGGCCACTTGCCTGGGCTTGGCGGCAGCCTCTCCGCAGCAATGCTACGTCAATGCTGACCGAGCAGGGGCCGAGGCTGCCACTTAGTTATGTATCCCCCGCTCCCCGGTCCAACCGTCTTTGGGAACGGGAGCCCAGGAGCGCGAGCGCGGCAGCCCTGGGTCTCCAGGGGAAACGGGGAAGCCACGTAGGTATCTCCGTTGCAAAAACGCTGGGAGATAAGAACGCGGGGGGGATGCGCGGCCGCCGTCGTTTGGTGGGGATGCTCTGGGGTGGCGGTTCCCATGTGATGGTGCTGGGGCAGAGCAGCGCGGGCGCCTCGGAGCGGAGCTGCGGGCAAACCCCACCTCACAGCGATGGGCGATGCCCTGGAGTCTGCCCTGCTGATTCCCTGTGTCCGTCTCTGGTCACGTTCTCCAATGAAGTTAAATCCTGGAAAGAACTAGCATGGAGGGGGGATATCAGCATGAGCTTTTGGAAGGGGCCCTTGAAGCTGCGCAGAGGTGGCTGGGCTTTTTGTTGGGAGAGTCTAGTTGTCTGGCTTATAGCTATTGATGGCTGTGGGATTGCAGGATCACGTCAAGGGTGCTCAGCTAAGGCTTGGGAGAGAGCGTGTTTGGAAGGGAAGAGGAGGTGAGACGGGCATATTTGAGGGTGCTAAATGCCAAATATTGTCTGAAAGACAAAAAAAAAAAAAAAAAAAAGACAACTGAGATCTTGCTGTGACTGAAGTTGTGGAAAAATCTTTCTCCTCAGGGGAAATAACTTACACAGCTGCTGATCTGGGAAAGATCAGTCTTTTTTTCTTGATTTATGCTCTCCTAATTGTACTAAGAAGTCAGTTATCTTAATGTAACTTTTATATATATATATATATAAATATATATATATAAAGGTCCTGTGAAACAATACGTGGCAGAGGCTGGCTGCATGGCTGCTGCAGTTCAGAGGGGCTTCCGGAGATGTAGCTGCAGAGCTCTGCATCTTTGGCCTCCATATGTACAGAAGTCCCTGTAAGTTTGCTAGCTGGTAGGAGGCCTGGAGAAGTGTTGATGTACTTGTGTGATCCCCCGCACCCGAGTAGCGTGCGAGGGGCTGCTGCCCCGTGAGTTGACAGAGCAGGATTGCGGGTTTCCCCTCCGGCGGTCGGATGTGGCTGCGCTCGGTGCTTGTCGGCATGGTCGGAGCAGGGACCTGCTCCACCGAACGCAGGAAAACTCCCTCCGCATTCGGACCTGGGGCTTCCTGGAGTCTGCTGGTGTCTGAGCCGTTGCTGTGCGTCCCGCGTGCCCTGGAGGGTGCTGTGAGCTTTGCCTTGTCTTGCCTGCATGGTCAGAGTCACCGACCTTTGGGGCCAGGCTGGGGGTGTTGCTGGGCCCATCTGCTCCTGGGCCACGGGCAGCCTATGTCCAAGAGCTGCTCCGTCCCCACTGTACGGAGCGGCCGGTGCCGCACGGAGCGGCCGGCCCCTCGGCTGATCCGGGCAGCGGCTCCTCCCGGAGGAGAGCAGGGCTGGGGAGGCTGCCCGGTCCCGGGCTCTGGCCTGAGCGCGGCACCCGCTGGGCGCCCCTGCGAGCGCCAGGATGCGCCTCGAGGGGAGGGAAGGGGCCCGGGGAGCTGGTGCCTGGCAGGAAGCAGCTGGCGCTGCGGTTTCCACCAGGTAGCCCCGTGAGAGCAGCGGCTCGGCCTCCCTGGAGCCCCACGGGGAAGGGGCCTCCCGCGAGGCCGCCCCAGCTCTGCAGCGGGTCCCGGCCCCCGCCTGACCTGACTGCGCCGCCCCCTCTCTCCCCTGCCAGATCTGCAACTGGTTCATCAACGCCAGGAGGCGGCTGCTGCCCGACATGCTGCGCAAGGACGGCAAGGACCCCAACCAGTTCACCATCTCGCGCCGCGGGGGCAAGGCGGGCGACGTGGCCCTGCCGCGAGGGGTTGCCGCCGGCCCCGGCGTCCTGGTGGTGCCTCCGGCGCCGCCCGCCGCCGCCTCCAAGCTGCTCTCGGTGTCCGTGTGCCCGCAGGTACTGTGCCACCCCGCGCGGGCGCTGGGCAGCAGCCTCACGGTGGTGAGCGCCCGCAGCCCCGAGCGCGACGCGCAGCCCGGCCCGCCGCGCGCCGAGCCCGACCCGCACGCCAAGGCGAGCACCGTGGCCTTGCTGGCGCGCACCGAGGCGGCCAGCCCCACCAGCGGACTCTTCAACACGCCGCCCCCGACGCCCCCCGAGCTCTTCGGCGACGACTTCAGCAGCTTCCAGCTGCTGGTGGAAGTGGCGCTGCAGAAGGCGGCCGAGCTGGAGTCGCAGCGGCAGGGCGGGCAGCTGCCGCTCTCGCCTCAGACTGAGCCCCCGGGAGTCTCCGTCTCCAAATAACGGCCCCCAGGCCCCTTCCCACGGGGCTGCCCTCCCTCAGCGCCCCCGACTCCTCCTGGCCACGGGTCCCTCTGCTCCGGCCAGGCCGGAGATCCGCGGCAGGAGCCGCCTCAGCCAGCACCTCCACCCCAGCAGCTCATCTCGACAGGCGACCCGTGCATCCCCAGGGGCCGGTGGGAGCGCGGGGCTCGTCCCGGCCTCTGTCGGGGCTGCCAGGCTTGGCCGGCCCTCCGGGAGCACTGACCTCGGGGCGCCGTGCCGGTCCACCCGCGCCGGGCTGTGCAGCCCCCTCGGAAAACCTGCTGACTTTCTTCCTGTTCTTTCCTCTAAACAAGGGACCAGCCAAAACTGTTTGTCCACGGAGTGACAGAGAGAAGATTTTTTTTTCCTTTCCTCATTCATATATATATATTTTTTAAGGATTACAGATGAAAAACTTTTTCTCCTAAAGCAAAACTCTCCAATTGCATCTTTCTTTTTTTTTTTTTTCCTCCTTCTGTTTTGCTTTCTACCTTGTTCCATTTTTCGTGAAGGACCTTTCCGGTACCTCGTGCTGCCCGAGCGGCCCTGCCTTGCCTGGGGAAGGATAACGGGCAAGTGAACTGGAACCCTGCAGTTGGTGGCGTTTCCTCGCACCAAGAACCGAGCGAGACCCGCTGCTTCTGCCGGCGGGTGTCACGGATGCTCCCAGTAGAAATCTCCATGGTGCTATTTCGCTAGTTTGTTTTGAAACCTTTTCCCTTCGATTGTGATTTTTTTTATATATATATATAATTTTTTTTGTACAAGCCTTCCCCCGGCTTCCCTGTGTTTCGGTGCCGTTCTGCTGGAGCTGCGCAGGCCGTGTCGCCGGAGCGAGCGCCGCGCGGAGCCGGGGCCGCGCTGACCGGGGAGCGGGACGCACGGCCGAGACTGTGAAATTTTGTACCCGTTCTTTTGTTTGTTTAGTTTTCCTGTGCTTGGCGAGAGGCGTGCGGGGGCGGCCCGCGGGCTCCTCGGGGGGCTGCGGGCGGCTGTGGCGGGGACGCGGACGCGCCTGCAGCCAGCGGGTTCAGGGGGCTCAAGTGCTTTAACCTCGGCTCCTCGGGCCGGCTGCGCAGGGCGTTGCTGGGGTCTCCCGTGCCCCCCGGGTGGCTCCTGGGCGCGGGGCTCTTCCCCCGCGCCCCCGGGATGGGCCCCGGCCCTGCTGGCTGCGGCTGGGGGGCAGTGGGGACCCTGGGCACTTCCCCCTTGCTCCTGCTGCCTGGCCTGAAGGGAGGGAGGCAGCCGGAGCCCCGAGCGTTGCAGAGGTCCTGGGCTGAGATAGTGCTGTTTCACTGTAAGATGTAAGTAAAATAGCGATTTGTACACACCTATATTATCTATCCTGAGAAACACTAATCCTAGGTTATTAGCCTGATTATTAAGTTGCATGAATAGAGGTATTAATGTCCCTGGGACCTGCTGCTCCCCTTGAGTGCAGGGGCTGGAGGCTGTGGTGCCAGGATGGAGCGGGGGGGAGGCACTCCTTTTGGGGGGCAAACCCTGAAGTTTGGGGCCTTCCTGCTCCCTCTCGAGTAGCCCTTTCCAGCCCGCATCCTCCTGGGGAGGGAGCCCTGTTTCCTTCCCCTCCTCTTTTCTGTCCCTGGAGCAGCAGAGCAGGGCTGGGGAGGTCCCGTCTGCACCGGGCCCGGGGTCGTTGCAGCCCCAGGGGACGGTGTGGAAGGAGGTGGGATGGGGGGACTGATCGGCTTGAAACTTATGGAGCAAAAAAAGAAAAAAAAAACAACTACTGTAAATAACTTCTTGTTTGTTCAGTTGTCAAATAAAAGTTTTCAGTTTTGTTTGTTTGTTAGTTTGTTTTGAATATGAGGCCTTAACCTTGGGCTGGACCAAGTCCCTCTGGGATGGTGCTCTTGCTCCTTCCATGCAGGCACAGCAGTCCCAAAGGCCTCCGGAGCACTTGGATGCGAGGGAGAGGAGGTAGCACCGGGCCTGGAGCATCCCCGTTCCCAAGGGGCTGGCGGCCGCACGGCGCTCGCCCGGCGCGGGCAGCAAGGCGCCCCTCGCCCTGCTGCTGGCCGGGGCAGCCAGGCCCCATCGCTGCGAGCTCAGCAGCCTGTCCCAGGGGAGAACCAGCGCGGGTGCCCCCCGCGGCTCGGGACCGTCCCGTGGGTGCAGGGCCGCCCCTGCCCTCCCCGGCCGCGCTCCCCCTCGCGCCAGCCCCACAACCCACTGCAGCACCAACGGGACGGTCACTCTGTGACCGCCGCTCTGGTGCCCCAAGGCCTCGTGGACCCCAGGCTGCAGATCAACACAAAGCACAAGGTCCACGTTGTCTCCTTTGGCCACGGATGGACACGCGCCCCTGCCCACGCCAGATGCGAGGGCAGCGACGGGAACGGGCCGCCAGCCGAAGCCCCACTGAGAGCCATGGGCTCCTCGCAGCCCCCCGACGGGCACAGCAGCTCTTGGGCACCCGAGCCCCTTAGAAACCAAGCACACCGAGGGAGCAAGAAGTGCAGACAACCACCACTTGAGACTGCATTTATTTTATTTCTCTCTTCTCATGATACGCCAGGCAGCTGCGCCGGCTGCAGGGAGCTCTGCTCCTCCAAGGCAGCCGCACACGCACCCGCTCCAGAGCCCCGGGTGGCGCGGGACACGCGAGGCCGCAGCCACGTCCCCAGCCGCCACGTCCCCAGCCCGGCCCTGGGACCCCCGGCCTCTCCCCGCCCCATGAGCGGGACAAGGCCCTAGAGCTCCTGCGGCCTGCAGCCCAGCACCGGGGAAAGGCAGGGGCTGCGCAGGCTGCCTGGCTGCAGTCAGAAGCATAAAGTAAAAAATAACCCACATTTCCATGGTGGTCTTTAGTGCGAGAGATCTCTACAACCCCCAAAGCCCTGCAATTCCCCCTCCCCCCAAAACTCTACAGTGCAACCCAAAATCTCTCTCCCCAGCAATGAAGACCAACGCTGAGCTTCAGTCATATTATTTATGGCCAAGCTTTGAGGGGGAAATCTAAGTCCAGAGGATGGGATTAACAGGGTGGGCAGGAAAGTCTCTTAACAGCATCTATGCACAGACAATATACACTGGTCACTCAGACATCATTCAGTTTTACTTTTATTTATTATTATTAGTTTTTTTGCCTTCTGGATCACCAACACGCTGGTTGAAGCTTCTTTGGGATTCCTCCCCCACCCCCAGGAGGGCAGCACAAGATCTCCCAGCTCCTTCAAGCAAATAAACAGGGGGGAAAAAAGAAAAAAAGAAAAAAAAATCCCCACGAGATCACTCAGCATGGGGCCAAATGCTTGTTTTGAGGGGTGGCTACAAATTCAGTGACAACAGCTCTGGCTTCAAGAAACCAGGCTGAAAAGGAGGCCTAGAAAGGGGGGAAAATGGGCTAAAAAATACTTAGCAATCCTTCCTCTACCCAAAGAGCAGGGAGATAAGGAAAAAATAGGCATCTGATTACACACAGGGTATATATTTTTACACACACTTTTACACACATCTAGCTATAGTACATGTAAAAATATATGCTATACATACGCCCATTCTCACCAAGGTGCTTTTACTACACCATCTGCACTGTGTGTAAGGGCATGTATACGTGTGTATGAATTAAATGTACAGGTACTAAGTGTATATGTGCATATGTACACATACATACAGGCAGGCAGCCTCCCGTCAGCCACCCTCCCCTTCCTCTTTGTACAAACCTGGTCCTCCCACCCTGTGACACCACTACGCTCCCCGCCCCAGCCCACTTCCAAACAGCTTTCCCCCCTCCCCGTAGCAGCTTCTTTCTCAACAAGCAATTCAAGGAAAAATAATTAAGGGAAGGGGAAAAAAAAATAAGAAAAAAAGAAAGCAAAGTGTGTGCAGCTCATGCCCATACTTTCTGTGGTCCTGTGCCAGAAGTAGGGTACATTTTTCCTCTTAGGATCAGCCAACCAATCACTACCCCATCCCTCTTTACCAGCTTATTGCACATGTTAGTTCCTGGGCTGCATTTTGACACTTCTGCATTACATTCTACAGATTCGGTCATCTCTTACTTCAATAAAATAGAGGAACACAAACCCACGACCCTGTCCCTCCCCCCACCCCCCTCAAAAGGAAAAAAAAAAAATAAAAATCAAGAAAGGCTGCTTGCTAGCAGAGTGCAACAGTAGTACACACTGAATAGGTGTTCTCTTCAGGAGCTCGGTGGAAGAGAGGTTATTTCTAACACAGTAAACAAAGCCATGCAAAAGGTGGGAGAAAGGGAGCAGGAGGAGGAGAACTTAAAGGATGAGAAGGAAGAACAGAGGGGAGGAGGAAGAACACAGCATGGCAAGTGCTCAAGGCTTCATGTTTTGTTGTCCTCTTCTTGTAAACAAGCTAATAATTCTCATTAGATAGAACAAGTAAAAAGACTTAAGTTCCAAGTTGAGGAGCTGGAGTTTCCAGGAGTCCGTCAGTCCATTCAGCAACACCACAGCCAGTGAGAGAAAAACGAGAGGGGAATTTTTTTGTTCTTTTTTTTTTTTTGTTTTGTTTTTGTTTTGTTTTAAAATCTTCATTACTTAAAGCTGAGAGAAAAAAGCCAACTCAGGAGCCCTTTTCAAGGATGGCTCATTGTCTCTAGACTGAACAAATCACACTAGTTGAGAGAGAACCTTTTTTCCTTTTTTAATGACTTATAAAAACCACGCGGTTCCTTCCTCTGCCCCTCTGCTCAAAGGCGGGTCTGGGCCTCGGGGACGTAGATCTCGATGCTGTCTGCGCTCTCGGTGGCCGAGTTCTGCCGGACGGAGGCCGCCCGCTTGGCTGCCATGAGGCGCTTGCGAGCTTCCTGGCGCTGCTTGTCCGAGTCAGAGGCTTTGTCCCGGTTCAGTTGGGTTTTGGACTTGGCTGGCTTCTTTGGCACTGGAGGGGGTGGTTTCTTCTCTTCCTTTAGGGAGACAGTAAGGAAAAAAAACAAACATAAAATAAAAATGCACATACAGGAGGTTGCTTTCTACCGTGGGGACCCTAGAGCACCGCTAAAGCAACAGGACTAGGAGGTGGGTGAAAGAACCAAGAGCAGTGCTCCAGCAAGGCCCTCATCACATTGTCAGCTCCTAGAAGTGGCTTAACTGGCGCAGAGGCTGGGGGTTATATCCTGCCTCTGTGACCCAGCTGTGCATCACACCTTAGCACACAGTATAAAAACCACACCTCATGCCAAAACTGCAAGATTTTAGTATACGCCCAGAATCACAGTACTTTCCCCCAAATTGTCTGGTCATAAAACCTGGCCCATGATTGCAGCCACATCTTCAAAATGTTCCACGCAGATGCTTTTTGCACTGCTCAGAACAGAGCAGCTGCAGCCTACTTAGACATGGCTAAACACTACTCTGTATCCCTTCTCCAGGAGTACACTCCTCATCTCTCTGCTCTTCTCCCCATCATAACACCTTCTCCCCTTGTACACAGGAGTTTCCTGGATTACTCAAGAGGAATGTTCTTAGTGCATTGCAAACTGTGCCCGTAGGCATGGGGAGGATGGCTGATGGACCCTGCAATCACTTACCTGGCCAAGCGCTTAAAGCATCACAAAGGGTAGATACATTCTAGAGAGTTTACATAGCACAAGCGGGAAAGCGAGCAATTTTACACGTTTTTCCTCTTTGCAGATAGAAAGAGCAGAAGGATCTGTGATACCCCAAGCATCTGGTGTGTCCTGGCCACTCCGAACTGCCCCACACTCACCTTTCTCTCCGGTGTCTCTGCCAACTGCCAGCTGTTGGCTTTCAGGTGGTACAGCTCATCAAATTTCATGCTGATGTCTTCTATGGACAACTGCAGAAGATCCCAAAACCCAGCTAGGTCCTGAGCTGTGGGTCTGGGATTGGCGTTAGGATTCTACAGGGAAAAGCATTGAAAAGGTTATTAGAACACACCCTGTCCCTGCCAGCTGGAGCAGTCTGGGCAGCTTACAGATTCACTTTTGCAGTTCTACCCTCCTGATAACTAAAACACTAAATCCTGTAGGAGACACCAGCCTTAAATGCAGAGAACAAGGCCACTATTCACAGCCAAGGACTTTGTGTTTAAAGATCTGGATGGTATTTTCTCTCACAGGAACCCAATGAAGAATCTCCAAAAGGCACTCAGAGCAGAAAGCCACAGCTCCCTTCTCCCAAAGGCCAGTACTAACCCCACCACAGCATCCACGCGAAGGCCCCCAAGACACGCTTCAGAGCTGGAACACTTACTTTCTTGTTTAGACCTCCTGACTTCAGAGCTAGAGAACACACAGGGTGCACCACTGTGTGTTCTAACCCCTAACTCGCGTGCAACACTGTATAGGAATAGAGCTTGTGGCAAGCAATTTGCTACATTCCCTAGCAAAACAATCTGGAACTGGAGCAGTAATTTTCGAGTGAGGTTGAAAAACCAAGCTCTTCAGGAAACTTCTGCCAAATGAGAGCAGATTTCCCCCAGATCTGAGGCATGTGAACTGCCACCATATCCCTGTCTCGGGGATCAGAGGTGACTGGACGGGCACACAAGCTGTCAAGGAGGACCTCAACCCAGAGCTTCGAAAGCCTGGCTGCTACTTTCGCTGCTGCTAATCTCTCAGCCACCATCAGCCAGAGATCAGCAAGCAGATGTTCAACATTTCACCCCCTCCTCTTCTTCCTGAGTTTCTATAGGTTTCTTACTCATAAGGGGAAATTAATCCCTGTGGAAATTCAAATAAAAAATCCTACCACTGTAGAATGAAGCTGTCTTCTGTTCTCCTCCCCAAGCTCCCCAACTGATTCCCACCCGGCCCCAAGTTAGCCTCACTTTGTTTTGAGCAAGGGCAAACCCTTGCTGTACATTTGAAGAAATCACATCCAAGCAGTGCCTTGCAACCATCTAGGGATATCCCTGTGGAGACGACTAAGCCATCTGCATAATCCACGTGCAAAGCAAGGATATAAAGAGGAACTGCAGCCTTTTCAGGCACCTCCCTGTTTGGAAAAACCTCCATGATTCAATTAAAAAAGCACCCCCAAAAAAACAAAAAAGAAAAAAGATGCTGGTGTTGGTTCCAGGACACTCAGTAGTATGGCTGGGAGAGTATTCAGACTCGAAAGTCTCAGACTTTTAGCCCGTCCTGATCAACAGAAATTCCTCAGTGCTCACATGAGCACCAAAAGGAATTGTAAACACTCAGCCCTGAGCGAGTGACAGCCTGAAAAAACTCATGTTCAGAACAGACACCAAAGATGTCAGTCTCCCACTGTCCAACTGCTGCTTCAAAACATCTTTCATCCATCACGGCACGACTACCAGACTGCACGATACAGCTGCTTTGGCTTTGCTGTAACGCACTGTCACACTGACAGCAGCCCATTAATATCCACTTATATTCCTTCAGTGCAGCTGGGTCAAATACAACCCCCTTCCACAAACCCGGAGAAAGATCTGGACTCACCAAGTTTTGTTCACAGAGTCCGTGGAACTGCTGGAACTTCTGTGACATCAGTAACTGTGCACTGCCCACCGCACTGAGGACTTTCCCTAAGACTGTGGGAAGAAAAAAAGTTATGGTTAAATGAATTGTTGAACATGCTAAGATCTCTCCTAACAACTGCTTAATTGGAATTTCATTTGTTCTGTGAATAAAATTGTCCTTTTCACTCTACTATTGCTCCTTCTAGGAGCAGAGCTGCACGAAGAGCATTACATGAAGAGGCTGAAGAAATGCTGAAGGCTGCTCAAGGTCCTGCCAGGTGGGCTCAGCTTCAGTGACCTGATCTGCAGGCACAAGCTCATAGGCTCTTCGAATCACGTATGAGAGAAAGGCAGCAAGGCAGGAGATCAATCTCCAACCTTCATTTATCAACGGATTTCAACCATCAAGAGGCTCTGGCTTTTACCAGTGACATTGTTAAAATCCAGGACTCAGGGCTGTTCTCAGTGGGGTCCCCAGGGAGCCTGGGATATGGCTCATTAAGGTAAAACAGCCCTGTATGAACAAGACCCTTCCTTCCACAGCGGCACTGGGAGATATGGAGCTTCAGGACCTGGGATGAACAGATGTCCCTCTCCCTTCCTGGCCAGCTGCCGCAGCTACTGAATCTCTTTAAAACATCTGAAGGTCTGTATGTAATTTGGCAAATATAAGCCCAAGTACTGCCTACTTTCAAAATTCTTGTTACCTGGCTTACCAGCAGACTGCTCTTAACGCTACTGATGACCACTGCAGTCCCGGTGTGCGAGGCTACCCCACCTCGCCCCAGGCAGAACAGGGACCAGGGGCTGTGCCCTGAAGCGGGCAGGGCCCTGCCACTGCCCACCCCACTCGCAGACAGCACAGCATCTTAGGGCAACAGGGTTAGAGACCAGCTGCCTTCTACCACCCAGCAACGACAGTGAGCTACAACCGGGTCTCACCACCATGTCACTTCAAAAAAGAAAAAAAAAGAACAACAAAAGAGAAAAACAAGCAACAAAAGCCAACGTATACAGAATCAAAACAAAGACCCGGCCCTCCACAATCAAGTACCTAAATTTTCCACTGTGAGCACTGTATGTACTCCCTTTGCCACAAGAAACAGAGCTTTGCTTACTCATTTGAAAATAAAAGAACAAGCGCTGCTAGGGACTGAGCTCTCCGCAATTAGATGGTCTTGTGCTCACTACACATGTATTTTTGGTCTATTTAGCTTGAATTACGTGAAGGTGGCCTTTATAAAGAAGCCTCTTCATTGCGAGGACAAGTCCACAGATTCAGAAGATCACTAACAGGTTTGGAAGTTGTAGTTCACCGTCAAATAGATTCTCAAAAGCACACGTGAACGTGGCAGAACAGGCAGGAACAAGGAGCCCACTGCCTCCCTAAAAGCAACGTATTCAAGTGATTAAGTGTCTTAACTGGTCAGAAGCCTCCACCATCACCCTCAAGTTTTCCCTGCTACATCTCAGTATTATTTCCTAAGAGGAAATAGGAGTAGCCTGCTCCACCTTTCAGTCCTTTTCAAGGACAGACCGTCCCTTGCTGCACAGGCACCTCCATGTTCTACCCTACCCTGTGGGCTACCAGCAGTTTAATCCAATACTCAGCTTCAGCTGCTGCTTAAAGAAAGAGCTGCTAAGCTGCCCAGCCTGGTATCCAGAGGCTGGCAACACCTACCTTCTTCAGAGAGATTGTTCTCTTTGGTCTCCTGGTCCATTTGACGGCACCACCCTTCCAAGCGCTCCGTCTCAGCCTGCAGCAGCTTCAGAAACCAGTAGCCATCCCGCCGGCAGGCGCCGGGCGGCGTGGGTTCCGCCGGCGAGGTGGAGGAAGTCTCGAGCCAAGGGTCAGGAGGAGGGAGAGAGGAAGGCTCCAGGGCCGGGTCACTGTTGTCTCCATAGGAGAGGTTTCTCTTAATCTGTGAGGGCTTGGCTGGTTGCCTGGTACTGGCATCAACACTAACGGAGTTGTTGTGCTGGGGGCACTCAGCAAGGCTTCTCTCAGATGATTTACAGCTAGAGTTATTAGGTTCTTGTGTGTCAGAGTCTGTGTCCTGTTTGGAGGACATGCTGCGAGAGTGGCTGTTTCTAAAGAGATCAAAAGCGAGTGTTAGATGGCAAAACTCACCATGGTTGTCTTCATGTGTTACAATAAAACGCATTTGCTTATGATGTCTGCAGCTGAGCCTCATCCCCACAGCCTCCCCCTCCTCACACAAACACACGCCAGACATTCAGACAGACTAAATTATAAGGTTGCCTGCTTACTGCAATAGGCCATTCAGACAAGAGGACTCACACACATCTATAATTACAACTCGAACTTTTTTCCTCTTTGTTTTGCTTTTAACTTCAGACTCCCACTGCTTTGGCTGTTTACAGAACAAGTGCTGTTTGCAGTGTCTACGTGCTGCAGAGGAGGAGCACTAGGCAGAGCCCTCCCCATGCAGCACCATTCATATTGGAACAGACTGGGAGGAGAAGGTCCAAACGTGGGAAGTGCAGCTCAAAAGAAAGCAGGAAGGACTACAAAAGTCTGTCTTTCACTTACCGCCACTCGTCCTCTACCTGTACCCCGATGGACTGGAATTTGGTGACTGGCGGAGGAGGCTCCTCTTTTACCACTGGCTGAAGGCAGTCAACCTTATTAAACAAAAATGATATAGACAAAAACAGACACAAGAACTTGCTGCTGGAATTCACGTTTGGGGAGCAGGAGGAGCTGCACAGACACACAGCCTGACGATGCTAGTGCCAACCGGTGGACCCTTCCAGGAGAGGCACAAACCTAACGCCCAAGTCGGCCTGCACGTGGGTCTCGGAACGGTACTTGGCCCGGGTTCTGCTGGGTACCTGCTCTGAAGATTATTGGGATGAGCTCTGCCATCTGCCACCGTTCGCATAGCGGCAACGGCTGGGAATTCCCGAGGGAGCAGCTGTGCAGGTGGCAAATAACACAGCAAGGGCCAAGGTGCACGAGAGGGCAGCAATCTGATTAAGACAGACAGCAAAGCCCAGTCTCCTTCCTTTCTCTCCAGGACTGACACCCTCCATAGCTCTGGATAAGATGTAAAAGGATTTAGGAAGGAAATCCAGGCAATGAGGCAGATGGCTTAGCAATAGTCACAAGTGGGGAGAAAAACTGGAGAGGAAGAGGCCAAGTTAGTCTCTATAACAAGAGTTCCCTTGCGCGGCCTTCAGTATGTGCTGTATCCCACTGGTCGCACGGAGAAGCCTTCACTGTAATGGGCACCTAACTGAAAGCTGGCCTTGCTGCAAAGCCAAGGAAAGCCTGGAGAGCTTTATCATCATCAAGGAGGGACAGCGAGCGCTGGCAGAGCTCCCAACACATGCAGCACTCACTGCGCTCCACTGTGAGCGAGATGGGAGACCATGGTCTGACCACAGCTTCAGCATGGAAGACTTTAAACCAACTGTAACAAATGCACAAGCCTGAGGGTGAAAGAATTGTGAGAATAACAGGGACACAACAGCTGAAGGGGTGTCTGTGGCAGCCCTGCATCGGTGCACACATGGTGGCCACGAGGAACACATTCTGCATTTGGACTTGCATCGCACGCTGCCCAGGCCCCCGCTACACAGGGGCCCGGGAGAAGGGTCTGCCTCAGAAGGAAACAGTTCCTAGAACCACGGTGGACAAGGAGCACGGTGACTTTAAATAATAATAGTGAAGTCCACAGTATCAGCGCACGGACATTTGCGGAAAACAAAAGCAAATCAAAACACTTCTTTTAAAGAAGAGGCTCACTCAGTTAACATTTCCCATTGCATCATGAAATGCCTTTTACTTCTGTCTTAAAGTCAGTCAGTCCTTTCTGGTCTGTAACAAGGACACCTTGCTGTATTTCACCTCTGGGTGTACAAGGTAAGTCAGCTCCACAAGCTATTTAATTTCTTTAGGTAATTGGGGTGGGGTTAGATGCATGTCTGGCTACACAGAAGGCACACACTAGATAGATGGGTTAAGGACATGCCTTAAAGCATAAGGTAAAACGAACTATTCCATACCTGTATTCCTATAGACGACAGCTTTCTTTTGGGGACGTTCTCCACTTTGGGCTCCTCGCTGGTCAGAGTCCCTTTGTCGCTCTTCAAAGTTGCATTTTTCTGGGGTATCTCTGGAGTCTCTCTAGCTGGAGTAACAACGCTGCCCCTCGTCACGCTGGGCGTCCGGGTACTGTCCAAGCTGTCTGAGGAATTGCTCAGTCCCGACTGGCTGGTCACCTCGCTCTTGTGGTCCTGGCTATCCAGGTAGGTGTCTTGTGCCGATTCGGTGCTGCTCTGCACAGTGACAGAGATGAACGGCTTTGATGTGGTCCGAGGTGGGACAGGAGGTGGAGTCTTTTTATATGCCACTAGGCATGATGAACCTGCATTAACGGAGGTGGGAAGAACAGAGAATGCAAGAGACAGATCGGAGTGACAGAGATACAGTAAAAGAGAAAGAAAAAGCAGGTCAGTTACAACATCCAAGAGACACCCTCCAAGCAGAAGCTCGAGGCAGAAATGCAGAAACACAGTCTACAGCCAGCAGCTCACACCAGATAACCCCAACCAAAGCACAAGGGGAAGCAGAAGGCAGAGCCAGAGCCAGCTTGCAACAGTCCAGAGAAACACTATGGTGTAGGAAAGCTTGGAAATGGAGAGGAGCTACAGAAAAGTCTCCCAAGAATGCTACAAGGTTTGGCAGGTGCAAGCCTCCATGAAGGAGGAACTTTGCTTAAACCCTATGCTTTAGTGTCCTGGAACAGCCGAGTGTCTCAGCTCTTTGTTCCCATCAGCCGTCAAGTTTCAGTGTCTGGACCACGGTGGCAGGCCTTTTTTTTTTTTTCCTACAAAAATGGAAAGAAGCCATAAAATCTGTTAGACGCTGATGTTAGGCAAGTATATCTGAAGTACTCGAGGAATCCAAGCTGCCACATTCCCATTCACGTGGCCGGAGACGCCTGGAAGCGCCGCAGCGAGTGCCCGGGCACCCTGCCAAGGCAGCGCATCGGGAAAGTCTTCTGCCTGAATGGCAGAGGCTCCTGCAGCGCTGACCCAGGAAGCACATCCAGCGCTTCCCTCTGCACACACCTCTGCTCAGGGGACACCATCAGCTGGGCGGTGTCTGAAGGGAGCACGAACATCCCGTTCAGGAGTTCAGTCCCAAACAGTCCAAATCGACCTGTAACACCCAGGCGGGACACAGCGCTCCAGCCCGATCACTGGACCAGTTACTAGAAACACTCCAGAAACCCCCCTGTATCAAACCTCCTGCCTGCTCAGATCACACCACAGCAAAGCTGATCTTTGAGCAGACCACACGAGACACTGGCGCCTTCCAGGACCCAGCAGGAGAAAAGCACAAAGTCCTACAAGACCAGAACTTGGAATGGACTGCTGGGGGTCCCAGCTCAGGCAACACAGACTGGACTGCTCGGAGCTTCGTCCAGTTGAGTTCTGAAGATCTGAGGATGGAGTCCCACCACCTTTGGGACCTGTACCCTGCTGTTTGACCACACTCATTAAGAGAATTGTTTTCCTCCTACCTGTGTAAAGTCACAAGCCCCAATTAAAGCTACAGGTAGTAAGGCATGAGCAGTAAGCAGCAGCACACTTTTGCAGGAATTAAACTTTGAGTGATTTTTTTTTTTTTTTTTTTTTAAGATATAAAAACTAAGTGCCCTAAGACAAGCAAGAAGGACCAGGCCTCTTGCTGGCACATGTCAAAAGGGAAGGGACAGATGGGATAGAGGCAGGAAATACTCCTACAGAACGTGCGTCCGTACAGATTCTGCAGCACATAACCAGCGTGTGGCAAGCGGCCACGGAGGGACGGAGGACACGAGCTACGTTGTGTTAACCAGAAGCTACTGAAGCTCCATCTGGGCTGTCAAGCAGATTGCCTTTCACTGTATGACCTGGACACAGGAGCTGTCTCCAGCCCCACAACGCACCAAGTGCAACACAAACTGAGTCATGTCACGACTGCCACGGGAGCAGAGCCGGTCCCCAGCCCTGCAGCCACCCTCATCATCACCTGCTGCTGCAGCTCTGCAGCATGGGCTTGCATGCGGGAACAACATAGCTGAAGAATAACCAGGAAAAGCTATTTTGTTTGGGGTCCAGGTTATCCTTCAGCTTGATCAGGCCCTGATGTCTACACAGTCACAGTGTCTACTATATTGGCAGAGCATCCCACGTGCGACTGCAGCTAAAACAGTTTTGTCCCTGAGCAGAGCCCTCCCCGATCAGTCCCTTGGCATGTTCTGAAATGCCTCGACTGCTACAGCCACCAGCTTGCCCTGAAAGCCCCTCTGAGGGCTGCTCTGGCAAGCTGAAGGAAAAGCAGCGATCGCAGCCCCAGGCACACACCCTGCAGAAAGCACAAGAGCAATCCGAGCGCTTTGCTCCCCGGAGCCGCAGCTGCCCACGGGAGCAGCCAGCAGAGCCGGTGGCACCGCTGCAGCTTCAGGAGGTCAGAGTCCCGCTGGCTACGACAGCGAGCGAGGGGAGCCACCAAGGATGAGAAGGGCCCACGGGCTCCTTCGGCCACGTGAAGCCGGCGCACGGAGCTCACACTGTGTGCAAGTGCCTCGAGCAATGCAGCAGCAGGAGGGCTCCGCTCGCGCTATCAGAAGGCAGGCAGTTCACCTTGCCAAGCGTTTCTGCACCAGGAGCCTACGGCGGCTCTCACCGAGAACAAGCCCGAGCCACCCAAATGGGTGGGTGGCCCATCCACACGGCCCTCATTAGATACCTCTTTCTTAACCCTCTCGCATGGCCTCTCTGGTCTTCCCGTGCGGCGGCGCGCAGCCCTAGAAGGCAGATGTGCCCGGAACTGCTGCGGCCGCTGCCACCCCAACAGAGGAGCCTCTGTGACACCAGGGGGTCGTGGAAGCGAGCGGAGCCGGTGTCACAGCGCTGGCAGTGCCGCCGCATGCAGCGTGGTCGCCCGTCCCCGCTGCTCTTCATGCCCACAGGGCTGTAGCTAGCAAAGTCAATCAATTGCTCTCCTGATATCGAACACTGCATCCAGGCAAAACAGGAGGCGGGCAGCTCCTGGACAGCCCAGTTCTGCCTATTGGTGGTATTTGGGGTCCCAGGACTAAACGCCAAATTTAACAGTCAGCCTACCAATAAGAATAACATTTGTCATACGTTATAACGGGAAGTTGCAGCTTCCCATCTTATCCAGTTTCCAGAGATCCCTTCCTTGCATCCTGCTCAGCTGAAGAGCAGCATGGATTTTGCTGAAAGGAAATCCCAAAGCAGCAGCAAAGTGTCCCTATTAACATAAGTGTGGGGTCCAGAGTGAGCTAGAGGAGGTTACAGCTCCAGTAACTAATATGGATGAGGAGCACAAAAAGATGAGGAGCCTGGAATAGCTGAGGATGCTTAGGAGACGACTGCAATCAAAAATGAATCCTCCTCAATCATTCTGTGACCGTAAAGCGGGGAATTTGGTTGTGCAGCAGAGCCAGAGTCAACACTTCACCTAAAACAGGCTTAGAAAGCCACAGAGTAAGCCCATCCAGACCATAACCCGCCATTCTCCCTCAGCAGACCTGAACTAAATGGCCCAGTTGGAGAGCCCTCCTGACTCCCAAACCTGCTGGGCATATTCTCCACGTTCTTTTCTCTCTCCTCCTGGAGAACCAGGCAATGGCTCCTTGAAAGGCCAAAGCGCAGGAGTCATAAAAGAGAGTTGAATACACTGCTCCCTTGAGAGGCCCCTGGTCAAGCACCAGCAGGCTGTGCTCACCCCTCAGTACCCAGCAGCACAGCAAAGGTATCTGGGCTCAGATTTAAGTATCATAACTGCTGCCAAGCGAACATCAGCCACAAAGCACAGTTATTTTACTGTTCCTGCTGATTGACTGCAGCCTGGTGGCATTTTTAATCTCTCAAAGATTTCAAGGATCCATTCAAGTCATGCTCATTTGTAAATTCTCTCAAAACTCCCAAGTCTTTACCATTCACAAAGATAAACCAGACTTGTCCTCAAACATATTAGTCGGGCTCAAATTGCTATTGCTTTCCTGCTTTAGGCAATCCTTCTCCACTGGAGATCTGATAGAAAAATTGTATTTCCTATGGCATAAAATCAATATATTCTGGAAACAGTCCTTCCTACACGGTAAGTTCACTTGCCTCTTAAATGAGGCACTGCAATCGTCTCCCAGCAAACCAGACCTGCCACCAGCTGCATTACCCCCAGCTTTGGGCTTGTATTTCCAACAAGGTCTCAGACTAAAGGACTTGCATTTAGAGGTAGTCTTCCAATGGGAAATGAAACCGGAATAGCCACATTCCTGTTTAACTTCTAATTTTCAGTGAACCTAGAGAACGCTGCAAGGTTGAGACTACAATGAACTGAAGTAAAAAGGATTCCCAGCAGCCTCCAAAGACTTAGTGGTTCATAACTTCTTCAGACTTCACTTGCTCTTCCTAATGCACTTATTTTTATACTCAAAATGAGTGTTTCTAGCCTGTACAGCCACAGAGGTTAACAGCATAGGGGCCTACCTGAATTTCTACTTGGCCTGTGTAAAAGCTGTTCTGGTCCCTTGCAGTTTGAGAGGTGAGATTTCTGCAACTGTTAAAGGCCCAGGAGATGTTTTACCTACCTTTTACTACTGAACAGGAGAATATGTCCATGTAGGTACAAGGGGGATCCTTGCAGGAAGAATATAAAAGGCAGGTTTGAACTCCTGGTGCCCTGTCCGGTGCAAGAAGGGCTCGGTATCACAGTGCATGCACTCAACATCCCAGCAGCATTTCCAGAGCACGGAGGAACTTGTCAGAGGAGGGCAGCAAGTCCACAAGCAGAAGCTCCAGGTTTAGGGGCCAGCTCAAAAGCATTGGCACCAAACCAAGCAGACTTCCCTGGAGCAGTTAAGTTCGTGTAACAAACTCCCTTGGAGCTTGGATGGGAAACACAAGGGGATTCAGCTCAATTGGCGGGTTTCCTGAAAAACACAACCTGCTGCCCCCCTCAAATGTGCTCAAACTATCTCATGTTCTGTTTTTTTTAAGAGGATAGGAGAAAAAAGATTAACACACTTTACACTTCTTAGATAGCACTACATTTATGGAAAGCAAAGCTGAATGACTTAGTTCCCTTGAAGGCAGCCCAGTGCAATGCTGTAAATACAAGTGGAAAACACCGCGGGAACAGGTAACTCTTGGGTGCTCCGGGGCCTGAGGGCAGCAGCAGAGCCGGGCAGGGTTCCTGGAGCTCTCCTGCACTCTGCCTCCACCGCAGCCCCAGGCCCAGGGCAGCCCCTCCGGGAGCTCGATCGCTGCGGCCGGACTCGCCGCTCAGCCGGTGAAGCTCCGTGACGTTTCCATTGCTATGGAAGTGCTATAGCAACCCGGCGGAGCCCTTCCGCAGCCTTCACCGAGGCACCTACAGATGTGGCCAGCCCGCAGCAGCCCCTCCGGCTTTTCCTCACTCTAACTGCTGTTTCCTTCTGATTGCATAGAGACGATGCAAAATGTGACCATGCTTGCAAGCCCAGTAATGAAGCACCTCC